GGAGCTGTCTCTGAAATTAAATTTGAAGCCACTGTCCCTTCTCCCGAAGCCCAGGGAGACAGGCTCGGGACATTCTAGGAAATGCTCAGGGCAGCAAGCCTCGTGAATGAGTGCCCCACGGCCCAGGGCTTTGCAGAACCGAGGACTTCCTAGTGCGTGCCTCTGGTTCTCTGGCACCTGCGTCATCGCTGTTCCAGCTCCGGAGAACTGCCCGTGCCCTAATCTGCTGCTGTTTGCATCGGCTGAGGTTATCTTCAATTTCCATTCCAGAATATAAGCCCCCACAAAGGTTTTGTTCAGATTGCTTAGCAGTGAACTCCAGCTCCTAGACCAACGCCTCGCACAGAACAGTTGCTCCGCACTTTTTTTTGAATTAAATCACTAGGCGAGGCGGCTTTAGGTATTTGTTGAATTAAATGGAATTGGGAAGCACGGACAGTAACTTGCCCGACTCACACTCGGGCAGGAAGGCACAGGTCTTGAATGTGGATTGCGTTCCTTCCACTGGGAAACCACGGGAACTGAAAGTTGCGAGGAGGATCGTGGCGCACAGGCGAATCTGGAGGAAAAAGACAAGACGGCAGGCTGCGGGACGTGAGGAAGAGGAGCGAGTCCCGCCCTACAGAGAGCTGGAGGCCGCCGGAGGAGCTGTCTGGTGCCTGTGCACGTCCCGGCGCAGGGAGCGAGGGACACGGAGGGGCCCTGCATCCGGGGCTCCGCGCCTGCAGCTCCAACCGACCTCACCTGGAAACGAGTTTTAAATTCCAGAAGGTTCCCAAGAGCCAAATTGATTTTGCCATGTGCTGAATCCCACCCTGGATCCGCGCTAAGAAAATGCAGTGCGGGCGTCGTGGTGGGTGCTGCAGTAAAGCGAGCCCAGGAGCGCGGGCCGCGTGCAACCCGCTGCTTCCACGAGGGAGCAGAGCGCCGGGCATTTGGGCACAAGGAGCCCTGGGTTCCGGGGAGGGGCAGAGTTGGACGGCGCCAGCCCTCGGTAAGCCCGGAGTGTGGGGCGATCGGGGCCACCCGGAAGGGCTGTCCGAGGAAGCTAACGGAGGCTGCCAGCCTGTGCGGCTCAGGACAGGCGAGGAAAGGCGGTTCTGGGCCCGGGCTCTCCCCAGGCGTTCTTCCCGGCGTCATTTGGAGCCCAGGTGGAGAAAGCTCACATTCTTAAAGCACTGGGTGCTCATACTAAACAGACCAAAATGTTAATTTTTAAATGCATATTATTGAATTGAATGTTTGAATATAATAACTGAATGATTATAATTTGGGCTGAAGAATCCATAATCACATCAGCCACAGAAAAGTTTAGGAAGTCTCTTGATGGGCTGTTGTTTCTTTTTGTGGGTGCTGAGGGTGGAGCCTGGTGTCCTGGGCCTGCTAGGCCAGCGCTCTACCACTGAGCCTCTGCCTGGCCCGTTTCGGCGTTTTCATAGATCAGATTCATTCCATAATGGTTTCGTATACAGTACTCTTCATACACTATGTCATGAGTATTTTTTCTAAATCCACTGACCGCGGAATGGTGTATATACAATACCCATCCTTCCTTTGACCTTCATGCCCATTTCAAGTGAAATGTCTCAAACTGAAAATCGCTGCAGTCTACATGCTGATTACCCCAGGACAGATTTCTAAAGTGGTGTCAATAGGTCGAAGAATACATTTTTTAAAAACAAATTCTCCTGAAAATTTTTAAATAGGTTATAAATACACAGGGATCAAAACCAAAATGCTCTGAGGCACGTACACGACAAATCCTAGCCTGCTCCCTGGGCCCTATGACTTTCTCATGTTTGCTTCAAAGGAGAATATTTTATACTCTGTGCCCCACTGTATGTTTTCTGCCTTACTGTGTGTCCTGGAGGTTTCAAATGTTCCAGTTTGGAAATGTATTTCTTACCCTTTTGCCTCCATTTGTACACTGCTGTTGTGTGGATGGAATGTAGTTTGAACTACTAGGCCCCCGGCATTGTTCTCCATCTTTTGCTGTTACAAACAAGGCTATAATGAACTGCCTCAAAGTGTGTCAGTAGGTGTGTCTGGGGCATTTGTGGGGTGGATTCCCTGCACGGCGGCCCAGCTCCAGTTGTGTATTCTTTTTTTTTTTTTTTTCAGGTGTGTATTCTTGAGGGGCCCTATCCTCATTAGCAATTTGACTTTCAAATGTTTTATAAAATTCTTGAGCCCATGTGCTGTGATTTATTGATAAAGTTTTAATAAAATGGTAGAAGAGAGATACATATGCATTTGAGTATTATCCAATAAGGGCAAATGGCGATTCTTCAGAGTGTCCGGGTGCCATCTTTGTATTTGTTATTGTCAGATGTGTTGTTCCTGGCTAATTTCAAATCTTCTGCTGCAAGACAAAGGTACCGACGCTGTAATTACGAGCAGTACCATAGCTGTTCAGAATATACTGGCATTAAAATGGTACAGGTTTTCTTGCACATTTTCTCTTTTTTTGGTACCGGGGATCAAACTGGGGACCTTTCGCTTATGAGGCAGGTGGTGGAACCGCTGAGCTAAATCCCCGGTCCTCTTGCACATTTTCTTAATGCCGTTCAAATCATGCTGCTTGCATCATTACTTGTGTTGCTGGGCCACTGGGGGCGCTGGTCCCAGTGTTGAGTCTCGGTTGTTGCTGGGCTTTGTGAAGGCTGGTTCACCCGGCACTTGCAGAAAAATAGGAACAGTAATTTGTGCTTTGGTCAGGTCCATTTAGATTTGCCGTTTGGAATTCTACAGCATAAATGTAGAACAGTCTTCTGACGAGTCTCCTCTTGAACTTCCGGTTGTGACGGAGCGCATCCCTGCCTTCTGCGCAGTCACCAGTAGGGAGATGGGAGGGACCAGGAGCAGGGAATCATGGTCCCCTCTGCCCAGCGACTCCCTGCCCTCCTTCAGCTTGCCCCTGAGAAAGCTCGACATCACCATAGCAACCAGGGGCGGGGACACTGATGGGAAGGACCGCCTGGGGGACTGCCCGACAGGCACAGAGCTGGAGCAGGCTGGGGTGCCTGCCCCACCTGCCCCACCGTCCTCTGGACCAGACACAGCGTGCCAGCCAGAATGCAGGCGGGAGAGCCAGGCTGTCGGTGGCCAGGGCTCCAAACTCACCCTGTGTGACACGAGAGACACCCCCCCCCCGAGTCACCATGTGAGCATCCTCCCAGCCAGCGAGAAAGGTCGCCTACCTCCTCAGCTGCCTCGCTGGAACTAGAGATGGCCAGAGTCAGGACAACCCCCAAGCAACAAGTCTGTGGCACCTAGTTGTCCCCACACAAAGTGGGAAGGGTAAGAGGCTCTGGAAAGGGACAAATTCTGTCAGGCCTGGCTTGTGCCCACCTGGATGGTGATTATGGAACCGTGAGGAAGGCGCTCTGGCGTCCGGGGACCACAGTGGGCCTGCTGCATCCTGCCCAACAGTGCTGCTGACCCCAGCTGTCCGGGGCCTGGGAAGACCTGGAAACACAAGGCAAGGCATCCACTCTTTTGGGCAGACTCAGGGCATGTGTGGGCCCGAGAGCAGAGGTGCTAGGCTTTGCAGGCTGCGTCCTTGGGGAAGGGAAGCACTTGAGAGTATGTGAGCAGTCAGTGCCGCTGCCCGCTAATAGAACCTCCTCACAGAAGCAGGCAGCCCTCAACTTGGCCACTGGCTGTTGTCTGCCAAATTCTGCTGTAAATCATGTAGCAGAGGGCCCGGTGCAGCCCTCACTTGCCTGGTCGAGGGTGGTGGTGGTGGGATACAAGCTCCGTTGGTTAGTGCACTGGCAACCTGCCCAGAGCTTTTATCATTCTTTTCTAACGCTGGTGATTCAGTCCCTCTCCCTGCAGCCTTGCCGAGCAAGATTTTATCCAATTTTGAGTTTTTGCCTGATTTTAACTAGCATTTTAGTTTGAGAGGTTTGAACATCTATTGTCTAAGAACTGTCCTCCCTTTGCTGGTTTACTATTGACCTATTGGTCTTCTCTTTCTGATATATGGAAATTCTTTGTGCAAGATTAGCCTTAATGTGTGTCCTGTAGCTGTCGGATCAGTGGTCTACAGATGTCAGGGTACACGGTAGTGCTGTTCAAATGCCTGTGATCCTCAGAAGGTGTCCAAGGGGAGCTGTCCAGCAGGCACTGGGAAACACAGATATGGAATGCATTTTTTTGGAAACAGGGTCTATTAGTTCAGGCTGGCCTTAAATTCACTATGTAGCCCAAGCTGGCTTCAAACTTGTGGTGATCCTCCTGCCTCAGCTTCTTGAGTGCTGGGATTACAGGCATGTGCCACCACACCGGACTGGAATGCATTTAAAAGGCTGGAACTGAAGTAGATTTGGGACAGTACAGCTGATGCTCATAACAACGTCGAGGGAGAGCAATGGAGCCCTTCAGCACCCCAACCTTTAGAAATGGAGATAAGGAACTACCAGAAAAGCAAGCTAGGCACCTTGCAGGAAGGCAGGGAAGAAAGCAAAGGTGGACTTCAAGGAGTCAGGAGACTGCCACATGCCTCACAGACTAAGGTGAGACTTCCTGTTGGGCACCAGTCCTTGATTTGGCAACATGGAGCCTGCTGGCGGCCTTGACAGGTGTACTCTCAGGGAAGCAGTGGAGACAAATGCCTGTTCTCCCAGAAACACCTGGGGAAATTCAGCAGGCTGCGAGGCAGTGAGGGTCAACATGATGGCTGAGGTTACAGCTGCAGACTAGCCTGGGTGGTCGTGCTCTCCATGAGCCACACACAGCCGTGCAGGTGTGGGCAGAGGGTTATCCAGGGCTGACGTCCTGTCCCACACGCATGAAGCAGTCGGCTGTGGGATGGACCGACGAGCGAGGACTGCAGGCAGGAAGGCAACGGACTGGAGGTCCAGGTATGACCAGTGCCCTATTCATTATACTTCCTGAGAACAACCCAAAAGCATATCAGCCCGTCTCTTCTGGGACACTGACACATATGCCTGATGCTCTGTAGTTCATCAAGAAGCAAGCACAGACAGCCGGGGTTGATATTTCTTAAATTTTATTTGCATTTACAACAATTCACAGGTGACAGGAGCCCATCATACATGGGCAGACCTAACCACAGATCCATCCGAAGGTGAGGAAGCCCCAGTGCTGAGGGCCTGAAGGGCACAGACCTGGCTGCCCACCGATGGCCCCAGGTGCAACTCTGTGATGTCCACCAGAAGATTCTTTACCTTAAATTTCTATTTTATCAGGTTCCAAGTAGCTTTATTTTTGAAAAAAATATTTGATGGGCAAAAATTAAAAATATGACTTAAAAAGAGCTTATATGTAAATAAGGAGATAAATTAGTAAAAGAAAGAATTTTGGAAAGCACGAGTTTTTATATAGAATAAAAATAAATACTGTTAATTTGCATTATTATAAGACTGACAATAAATTATTTTTATGGGCAAATGAAGGAAATCATCTTATTGTTTAGGAACTTACATGAAGGCTTTCAAGATACCAGTAATAATTTTTAAAGGAATCTATATCCCTTTATAATTAATTTAGCTAATTAGTGACTGATTTTTTTCATTCTTTTTTTCCCTACTTCATGCCTTTTAGACATTTGTTACTGTAACCAAGGCTGAGTTGTGAATGAGAAAGGAGATAAAATTCATTCATCCCGGTTCTCATCACCTATGGCAAAGGGCAAGATCTGGGAAGAATGGTGGCAAATAGAAGTTCTCAGAAATAAGGCATCGCTCTTTATTCCAACTTTTTTGTTATAAAAGTGAAAAATATTTTAGAAAATAAAATGAAGTATTTAATAAAATATTTTCATTATTTTGCTTATGTTTCCCTCGATCTTAGGAACATGAGTAACTTAAGAGTTGGCTGGACTCACCATCAAGTTGAACTTGAGGGAGCCTCTAACACACATTGGGAAGATGTGGTAATATTCCAGATAGGAAAACCCTGTGTCTCCAGTTGGCTGCTCTGTGCATGTGGGGCCACGGATGTGTCACACAGACCCAAGGCCAGGCCTTTCGGGAGTTCACAGGTGGGTCACTGTGTAGCTGCACAACCCGAATGCACAACCTCTCTGTTTCCATTTCCTCTGCTGCAGAATGGACAGGAACAGTTATGTGGCCCACGCCCGAGATGTGGCTATGAACATAAACTCTGCAATGCATCTAGCAAGCTTCACAACACAGAACACACGGCACTGCAGGGGCTGGTAAGCGCTTCCAAACTGTGGCCTAGTCAACAGAAATCACTGAGAAATGAAAATGGCGATGAACACAGAGCCCAAATGTAAGCAAGGAATTTACAAGTGCTTTACAATAAAACCAAAGACATTATTCATGGAGTTTTTAAAAAATAAATCTCTGCAGCTAAATATTTCTCAACTTAAATGTAATCATTTTTTCTTTTACAAAAATGTTCACTACATGACACTGTAACTCTCCAAAGGAGAAATTCCATAATTAGTTCAGTCTCTGCCTTAAAAGTTTCACTATAAGGCAGAAGAATGCAATAATTAAAGTTTAAAAATAAGCAAAAATATATAACTCTAAACCACAGACCCTTATTTTAAAAAGCTTAATAAGGGTAATTCCCCAATATATTTATAAACATCCAACTAATACTAACTGGCAACTTAAACCACAATAATCAAAGGTGATGTGCATTTTTATTTCCTTATCAGTTTAAATTATTAAATATCTAATGGTCTTGGGAGATTGCACTGTGTTTTATTTATTTATTTGGTACCAGGGATTGAACTCGGAACCTTGTGCTTGTGAGGCAGGCAGTGGGACCACTGAGCTAAATCCTCAGCCCTGCACTGTGTTTTAAAAACTGAAGGATACGTGATATGAAAAGGCTTACCTACTGAACAGCGGGGATGTTGCTCAAGGTGTTTAAAACACACACCCCTGAGACAGCAGTGTGTGCAGCAAGGTCCTACGGCCTCACCAGCCTGTGATGAAGGCGACATGGGCAGATGTGAGCCCTCGCTGAGGTGACCCGCCGACTTCTCTCTTCAAGGGCACATGATGAGCTCCTCTATGAAAGCCGAGGAACCACTTGCTCATTCTAAGTCTGGTGCCTGGATTATATTACATGGTACAGCTTTTTGTAAAATAAGAACTACTAATTATAGTAGGTAACAAATACCAAATTCTGGTCAGTAACAAAATTTTGGGACCAAATGACCAAAGTATATTAATAAAATGTGCTTAAGAATAACTCTACACTGCTTTTATTCCAAGATTACTGATCTTTACCATCAGCAATCCAAGATCCAGTTCTTCACAGAAAGCTCCTCTCACAGTCTCTCTCCCATGTGTGCATACGTGCGTGAATACACGCACATACACAGTTTCTCATACCATCTTGTCTCCACAAATGACACTTGGGCTATCTATCTTCTGTTTTTGACTCTGAAGTGTTTTGAAAAAAGCAACATTTTTTCTAAAAAATCAAAGATCAGAAATGGCCCACTGGTTTCCAGGTCTCTCAAGATGGCTCTGTTTACAGGTAGCCTGGTGAGAACTGGAAGAGTTGAAATTAAATTAGCATTGGTACAGGGTACTTTTACATGCAAGTGAGAATGAGCTCATTGTATGGTCAGTAGAACATATTTGAGTGATTGGTAAATTTATCCTCAGCCAGCATCGAGGTGGGCATAAGTAAAACTGAAAAGCCTGGCTGGGTGCCTTTCATTTGCTAGTATGCCTGCAGTTCAATATACCTGTAAGACACAAAAGGCTAACCTCGAGCTCCATTTCCTCTAACTTTGCATTATAACTTAAATAATAATGAAGTCCATTTCTACCATGTCTGTGGTTTCAAAATTATTCATTGTAAACATCCTATATTCTTTCCTACTTGAGTTTGTAGCTATGTCTATGTCAAATTATTTATTCTATAAAAAGCAGCACAAATATTGTTCATTCTGGTTTCAGCACAAATTCCTTAAAAAATGTTAAGGCCATTTAATGGAGTCAGGGCCCCCGCAAGATCACCCTGCAGAAGTCAGCCAATGACTTCTGACTTTGTAGAGTAATGAAAAAGAGCCAGAGCGGCTGTCTTGTGCTCTCCTCCTCGGAAGCGCAGAGCTGCCTGCAGGGGGTTTCTTAGTCTCCCACGTCTCCATCTCGATCTCCAATGAGCCACAGGAAATGGAAGCTCAAGGCTAACAAAGCCGTGCCCAGCAGGTCCCCCAGGGCCGTCAGGTAGGGGATAGAGAAGCTGTCCGGGTCCTTTCCTTTCCTCCAGAAGTGGTGGACCATCCAGTCTGCGATCCACAGCAAGGTGAACACCTGCAAGACAATGCTGTCAGCCAGGTTGCCCACAGGCTCAGCCCACCACATGGCCAGGAGCCCAAGCCCTGGAGTTCTGAAGGAATGGCATACGCCCTTCCAGAGAAGAGAGGTGTAACAGACCAGAAGTCTTCTTTTCCCAAGAAAAGACGGCACATACATCAGAGGTTCTTAACATTTTCGTCCACTTCTCACATGTGCTTCTCATCTCAGCCAGGCTCCCATCACAACAGTCCTTACACTGTGGTGCTTCGGTGCCCAAACTCGATTCTTTCCATGATTCTGGTTGCCAACGGAGTTGGACGAGAACCAAATCAAATTCAATGGTCAGGGTCAGTGTGGAGCTTATGGGGAAATTTGATTCCATTCTCATCCAATTCGGTTTGCAGCCAGAATTGTGGAAAGAATTGAGCTCATGAACCAAGGCACCACTATATTCAACAACACCACACAGCTTCCACACCACCATGATGTTTGTTTTTCTCTGTGTGGTAAACTTGTGAAAGAGTAAGACAGGAAGAAGGGAATAAAATTGAAAAATGAGTGATTCAACAGTCTCTCCCTGCAAGCATAGCGAATGAAGTGGAGAAGGAAAACTGAGTACTCAGGAGTTAATAAGGCCATCTGTGGCTTGGCAGACTGGCAGTGCCAGGGTAAGAGCAGCAGCAGCAGGTGAGTGCACTGTGGCCCGAGGGCACCTGTGCACATGGACATGGGCAGACAGCCGGGGTCTGAAAGGGCTATTCCAATGCCACGACGATACATGTAAGCACTTCTGGGATATCAAATATGGAGAGGTCTGTGAAGCCCTGAACCTTAGATCACATAAATGTTTTCCTTTGATCTATTTAGGTAGGAGGATTCCCTCCCTAATTTTCACATCCCAGAAGCAGTAAGGGAGTGTGGCACTAGAGAGGTTCCGGCACAGTGGTGAAGAGCACCTATTACCTACTAACTGGCTGTGGCAAGTGAAAGTCTCTGACTGTCTCTCCAAATGAACTTTAGGGGCAGTAACGGTGTCTGAGCCTCGACAATGCAGACTCATGAGTCAGCTCCCCGCACACATGCAATGTGCAGCAGGCTCTGCCATGAGATGACAGCTGCCTCAGTGATACGTGGCACATGCAGGAGGACGCCCATGTAGGTGCAGAGTCTGCCCCTGCATCTGTCACCCTTCACTGTCCTGGCAGGTGGGTTGGGGCTGAGGCTATTGTGTTAGCTCTGTCACCTGTACCAGGCAGGTGACCACCTGTCCAGGGGACACTGGCTTCAGTGTGGGCTTCAAGTGCCTTTGGACACCTGTTAGAGCTGTACCCTAGGGCCCACTGTCTTTTGCATGAGGCTGGTTCTTCCTTAGGGTTTCTTGCCAAAGACTGCTTTGGGATCACACAAAGTTTAATTGGGACCATGGAATGTTAGGAAGAATCCTGAACTTGGATGTTATAAGATCTGGATTTGGGTGAGTTCTTACCACTGAGCTCACATTTCCTCATTCAAAGAAAACAAATACAATAGGGCTCGGTGCCTGGCCAGCGTGCTTTGTGGTGATTAGCCAGGGCGTTGGTAAAGAGGCAGTGGGACTCCAGGTTCCATCGACAAAGGCATGAGTTGTGACAGTCCCCACCACATGGCAGCTGCTCCTGTTATGGGTGTTGTTTGAGAGGGATGTTCGCCTTTCTGTCTTCAGTGCTTATAAAGTGGCCAGATAGAAAGAAGCCACCAGCAACTGCTGAAGGGATGAGAATGAGCTGGAGACTGTTTCCTATGAGGGCAGCTGGCCAGGAGAGCCTGTGTGTCAGGGGGTCCTGATGGAGAGCCTAGAGAACAGCAACAGGTGATGGAGCCCCAAGCAGCATGAGCAGAGAGTGGGGCTTCCGGTTCACAACATCCACTCAGCTCCCCAGGGATGGGGTCCCAGGGCCTCGGGGAAACATGTCCTGGCAGCGCAGGGCAGTCTAAGCAGGAGGATCCCACAGAGGAGCTGGCTGCTCTAAAAGTATGTCCTCTGCTCACTGGAGGCACCTGCTTTGGAGCCCTGCTCCCAGACCCAGGCGCCCTCAGGAGCCACCAAGACATGCTGCCTTAGGAGCCAGAGCCCACTTGTGACCAGCGGTGCCTCACAGGGCAGAAGACAGGTCCCCCAGAGTCCTGCGGCATCAGGACAGCAGCTGCCATGGCCTCCAGCCGAGACCTGCCCACGTGTGCCCAGTGGGGGTTGGGAGGGTGCCCTCCCCAGCTTCGGAGAACAGGTTCCAGCATCCAGCATGGGCCTCCTCCCCAGCCTGGGAACTGCAGCTGCCTCCACTCGCTCGGCCTGACCCTGGGGACCTGGAAGAGCCCCTCTGTGTTCTCTCACTTCACAGTGTCACTAGCAGCACCACGTGCCTCATCCCCGCTGCATCCAGGGTGTTGCCTAGGGACTTCTACAGATACCAAGCCATCAGCCCCAACACCACCAGCACTTGGCCCCAGGTCCTGGTAAGGGTCTCCCTCACTGCTGTACCACAGGCCCAAGCATCACCTGCAGCTGCCCGGAAGACCTGGGGACATCACCTCCACTAGCCATGGCCTTCGGACCACATACCCTGAGATCCGGAGGCGGGATCATCTGGGTCTCCTGGGTCCATGAAGGCAGCTAACAGCACCGCAGGCCCAGAACCACCCTGAGTCACTCCCCAGCAGGGTGTCCTAAAGCCTCCTTTTGTGTTCTAAAGCCTCATGTCCACATCACCAGGCCACAGACTCAGCACCACCTGTGCTCACCTGGGGAGCTGGGAGAGGCCCCACCCCACTGGGCACCAGCTGGGTCTCCTCATTCGCCTTGGGGGCCCTGGGGAAGGTCTCCGCACAGCTGTGTCACCTGCAGGGACCTGGAGGCAGACATCGCCTCCTCACACACCACCGAGACTGTCAGCTGCCACCGTACCGGCACCAGCAATGTGGCTGCGTGGAGCCAGAGACAGCTACAGAGGCCACATCTACTGCAGGCCAAGCAACAACCTCCACTGACTGCTGCAGCCCACTGAAGACTGACGCCCCCACCAGCACCGAAGGGAAGGGACCACAGTGACCACACTTTGACCTTCCCTACAAACGAGTCCGAAGCACCTCCAGCTGACATCCTGGGTCCCAACTAAACGACAGCTTCATTCCTTCCAAAAGCTACTGCATACAACTGGAAGAAATGAATGTTAAGCCAGGTGTGGTGGCGAATGTCTGTAATCCTAGCACTCTGGGAGGCTGAGGCAGGAGGATCAAGAGTTCAAGCCCAGAATGGACAACTCAGTGGCTTAGGGAAACCTAGTCTCAAAATAAAAATTTAAAGAAGGGCTGGGGAGGTAGCTCAGTGCAAAGGCCCTGGGATTCAGTCTCCAGTAACACACACACACACAAAAGAATATTACAGCAGATGCACACCCATTAATATAAGGATGTAAGAAACATGAAAGGAAACATGACAGCTCTAAAGAAAATCAGTAATTCTCCAGATGTAGATCCTAATTTGAAGAAAGTCTATAAAATTAAATTCTGAAAAATTTAAAATAATGATCATAAGGAAATCCAGTGAGCTGTAACAGAATAGAGTAATAATACAAAGAAAGGAGAAAAACAATTCAGAATATGAATGAGAAATTCAGCAAAGAGAATTTGGAAAGAAGAAACAATCCGAAATCTTGTAAATAAAGACTTCAATCAGTGAAATGTATATTACAATAGAGAGCTTCTGCAACAGACTCGGATAAGCAGAAGAAAAAAATTTCTGAACCTGGATCACATCACCCTGCAGGTGTGCAGGCCAGAGACCAGGAAGGAGAAGCCAGGGTTTGTACTGGAGATGAAACAAACGAAACAAAAGCACACCGAACAACTCCCTTGGAACTAACATTTTTAGTGCACTGCAAACAATCCATGCACTGAAAGCAACCAAAATGCTGTACTGAACACAAACCTTGTCTTTTCAGACAGATCAGGACCTGGCAGCAGAGTGAGGCCCACTCAGGGCAGAGGGAAATGAGGGCACAGAGGGCACAGGACTGGAGTAGGCAGTAGGCCTCAAAAGGAGGCCTCTCTGAGCACCCTGGGCACCGCCTTGCTGGGCACAGACCCACTGAGTGCTCCTGCTCTGGCAGGCAGGCAGGCAGGACTTCCACAGACGCTGAGACACCATGCCTTCTGCACCAGAGGCCTGCCCAAGGAGAAGGGGTGAGAGGGGCTGCAGGCTGGGGCGCTGTGCAGGGGAGAAAGTCTCCCCAGGAAACGCCCCAACCACAAGGTGACTGTGCGTGGATTTGAGGCCAGCACCAAATGACCTGTGTGGTTTGCACAACCTCAAACTCAGTGTTTTAAGTTGTCCTTAGGCTGACAGTGGCCCCAGGCCCTGGGATAAAGCAATAAAACTACTCTCTGAAGCAAAGGCCCCTCAACCTAGGCTTCCAGGAGCTTCCATGATTACAAATACAAAGGGAGACACACTGCACAACCCCACTTAGATGTGGAAGTGAAAACAAGCTGAACTCACAGAAGCATAGAAGCAGGGGGCTGGGGGCAAGTATGATTGAGACGCTCAACAAAGAATACAAGATTTAGTTAGAAGGAGTGAGCTTGGGAGACCTATTATATAACATGGTGATAAAAGTTAACATACAGTACTTGAAAACCGCTTGGGGATTAGACTGTAAATGTTCTTACCACAGCACAGTAAATATGTAAGGTAGTGGATATGTTAAATAGCTTGATTTTTGGAGGGAACAGTATCAAGGATTGAATCCAGGGCCTTCATACAGCCTTTTTAAATTTTTTATTAGGAGACGGGGTTGCTAAGTTGCTAAGTGGCCCAGGCTGGGCTTGAACTTTTGATCCTCCTGCCTCAGCCTTCTAGAGGTTGGGATTACAGAGGCTTGCCATTATGCCCACCTAATCAACTAGAATTAGCTATTTCACAGTGTATAAATATATCAAAACATCAGATTGTATGTCATAAATATACACAATTACTATTT